AATGGATCTTGGAAATGGACAGTGCCATTGGAGGCCAAACACCACTGGGGGACATGGCTGGTATGGAAGGCAGGGAGGAGACAACTCTCTTGAGACATGACTCCAGTCTCTGAAGGTGTATCTGAAAATGAGATAAGAAGCTGGGTTTGCCTGGCAAATTTGTCATCAGAGATAGAAGCTCGTCCCTGTAGAAACCCAGGAACTTTAGCCCAGAAATGCATCTAGGCCAGTGCTTCCCCATACGCTCTTGTTCCTGCCCTCTTGTCCAGCCAGGGTTTTGGCCTCTGAGCTGGGATGATCCCTGAAGGGTGTCTTAGGTTCCCAGGCAGCCATAGGCTTACTTGCGTGTGCCAATGCAAATTTGGAAATGCTTGTCTTCTTGGGGTGAGGGTGTGTGGCTCACCTCCAACTCAGCCAGCATCTTTATCAAAGGCTACCCAGGGAAAATGGAAGCTCTTGCTTATCTATTTCGCTCCCAGGTATTTTTCTCCTGGGATGATTTCCAAACAGTTTAACTCAAATGAATTCAGTTCTGAACAGCCCCATGATTTGATCCCACGCCATGCCTTGGGATGGCATCAGCAGCTACCTTGGCTGGTGTTTCGAGGAATGGTGAGCATTTTGTCATCCCAGCTTGGATGTGCCAAACGTTGTTGATGACAGAAGTCAGCTCTCCACCAGTGGGACTATACAGTACAGCAGAGACAAGAGTATCACCATTGCTATCGGTCAAGTGAACTGGGAACTTCTTCCAAACTCCTATGGGTGAGAACTTGCACAGCCGAAAAAGTTATTTTTTTCTTCTTCAAATTGCACTAATAAGATAAAGAGTATCATCTCTTTACCCCTGAACCATGCCTAATAGCAGAGAAAGGAGAGAGACCCCTCATAGCCTCATTTCTTTAGGTAGTGCAAATCTTACTGGCTTCAGTGCATTTTGCATCGAACACATTGCTGGAAGAAAAAAACACCTTGGTTAACTAGGTCTCCCTGCACTCTGTCTGCAGCCAATAGAGGCTTATTTGCAGGATCCTGGATTAGCTGACTTGACCCTGTCCAATTTGATTTCTCCCTAGGGGAAGATCAGAGAAGGAGCTGAGTAAGTGTACAAGTGTACAAGACATTCCTAAGTGTCTATTTCCATCTGAAAGAGCTTAGAGAAGGTGGGACATCTGCACAGGCCATACAGCTGCTTTTCTGGACTGACAACTACAAGGTGGCTGGGATTCCTGGGGCATCTGAAATGATACTAGAAGCCTATATTTAGGCCACCGAATCAAGCCCTCAGCAAGGCCCAGAGATGAGTTCCAACCAGCAAGGCCAAGAGCTCCTCCTGAAGCAGATGGCTTCTGAAGGCCAGCTAAGAAGCTCTGCAGACTTTGCTGCACAATTTGCTTAGGTATGCACCAAGTGTAATGGGAGATCAGACACCTGACACTGAGACAGAGACCAAATTTACGTGTCTTCATCTATTTATTGATCTTAAATGTTTAGTGAATATTTATTGTGAGTGAAAACAGGGCATCCCAGAAATAGCCCTGAAAACACTGGTACAAGGTCAGTGCCCTGGCATCGATATATTCCAGTGGTTTACTGGGAGGTCAATGAATGTAAGCTCTAAAGGACCTTGTGAAAGAAAACCCTGCAGTTGAATGTCTATTGCCAGAGACATTAGTTCACTTCTTCAGCTGCCAAATTTCTTTTCTACTCAGACCTGCTAGACATCTGGATTCGATCTGGATGATATAGATTTGAGGTCAGGTATATGGATTACACCACAGTCCTTCAAAAGTTTAGTTGTCTAATTCACAGGGTCTAGATAAGACTAACTTCTTTCTGTAGCCACACCATGGGACTAGAAAGACGCATGGCTAACAGCATCTAGATCAGGGCTAGACAGATCTGGCAATTCTTCAATTCCAGTTCTGGTACCTGGAATCCTTAGTTCTTGTGAAGAGCACGAAAAGGACTTGTTACCACCCCCTTATTGCTTACTGGCTACAATATCCCAGTCCATGTCACTGGTGTGGGATTCCGGCTACCAAATTTTGCACTGTGTCTGTCTCTACAAAAGCCAGTAACTCAGGTGGCCTTTATGGTCAAGGGACAAAATAGGTGTCGGGCGCAATTCCCCTGCCCTATCGTAGACAACTACTTTAGGATCAGATGATTCATACCTTGGACTCCATTGACTGTATTGAGCAGTTCTCCAATGATCACAGACGGAACTACCTCCAGCTGAGACTTGTGAAGAGCCACATAAAGTCACGTGAGTCCCACTAGAATGGTCTTTGGAAGAACAGTATCCTGTGTCTAGATCATACTTTTACTCCATTTACAGGACAAATCCCCTCTACCAGTGACAGTCACCCTGGTTATTTAGACTGCCCCTGAGCCTCCAGCTGTGGCTGAGAACTATATGGTGCTAGGTGTCATGGAGACAGGCATGACTAAGATGATCCCTTCCCTAGAGTACTAGTGAAGCCTCGTCTGACAAAGGGCAGGCTTCACAGCACAGGGGTAACAGTGAGTCACTCTGGCTAAGCGCTCCATGGGCAGATGCAGCTGTGCCCACAAATTTGTGTTTTATGTCTATTAAGAAAAAGAAAATACCCCACTATAGAGGAAAGAAACCAGTCCAGTGAAAGTGTTGCTGTGTTGCTGCATTGCACTTGTACTTCAGAGCTGGCTGCATGTCCACAGTAGCGAGGAAATCTCAGGATGAATCCTAGCTCTTCAACCCTGAAATGTGAAGGGCAGGTTGGTTTCACAGCTAACATGGGCTATACTGACTCGTAATTATGGTATTGAGTAGGATCTTACTGCACCTAATAAAACCAAACGAAGGATACAGGCAGACAGGTGAACTTAAGGAAGCAATAAGATGATATTGATCAGTTGACAGATTGGGGGAAAGAAAAACAGCCTTCAAAGCACTATTTCCATGGAGACTACTTTCCGTTCCCTGTTTCTATGACAGCTTTCATCAGGAGATCTTGATTGCCCTATGGTCTGCCTGGTCCTTGATGTGGAGGAGAGAAAGGCAAAGATAGGAATTGCCTCTTTATTGGGAACCAGAAAGGGATATTGAAAGGGCAAATGTGAGCCTGACACCAATTCTACTGACACCAGTAAGAGTCCTTCCAGAGACTTGAAATGTATGCCTAGAAAATAGACTGACGGTGACCACCTTGCAAATGCAGAGAGCCCACAGATCATGTGCCTCAGCTTGTGGCTCCAGAGGAACCAGAACACGAGCTGCAGGACACAGATATTCCACTTCTTGTTGCTGACCAGGAGGGTTTGGTGCCCACTGAAAGGTTAGGCAGCCTACAAACTAGTCATAGGTTGTCTACAGGGCAGCCATGTGCAGAAAAGCTAGAGCTCACTGTATACAATGTGAAGAGCTTTGGATTGAGCCTCCTGTATCCAATCTCAGATAGGAAACCCTCAGCTGGTATAAATGATATTCCTTCTACTAGCTGCCACAAAGCAGTCACCCCCTAGGACTTTGCCTAGGATATAACCTAGACCCTGCCTTTTTTTCTCAAATCCTGGTCTTTATGAACCCCCAGATACGCAGTGTACAGAGTTACACACCTGTCTATCTCCATCATTCTCCCTGCTCTGCACTCTCTGAGAAGACAAAAAAAAAAGCCACCCTCAAAATAATTCTTTATTGGTCTTCCGGGGATGGTCTGAAATCTTGCTCTTACAAGGCTGACGGTAGAAATTCAAGCTTGATTTTCATCACAGTGCTCTAGAGAAAGTGGGCCGTGGCTGTCAGTACCTCAGGCATGACAGACTTCAGAAAGCTTCCATGGCAAAACAAGTAGAGGTAGTGTATGTGTTAGCATGGCAATCACTTCAAAATTAACATAAGCAGTATCCCATTAATGGTGTATGTCCACCATGCTGGCTTGAAATAGGGTCCAATGCTGGAAGGACTGAGAATCTCTGCTTCGGACAAACACTAATTGGAAAAAGGATTTTATTTTTTGTGAAAATACACTCCTGGTAGCATCAATAACCTGCAATTTCTGACAGTATCTGCTGCACTGCAAATCCCTTTTTCATCCCAGACTGGCCTAGAGATAGAACACAGAGGTACTCAACCCACATATTTCTAACCTGTAGATATATCTGACGCTTCCGACACAAAATGCCAGGACACTGTGCATCGCTACTGTGATGCATGCAATGAGTAAAAGCACTGACACAGTCCTCTCTCATCAGACACTTTTGTTTCCCAGCTACCATGAAGATGGTTTGCATCCCTTTGCAGAACTCAGGGCATTGACAGCAGTGAGTGGCGTAGCCAGGCACACTTCCAGTCTTACTTGTATCTCTGCCGCACTGGGATCTATCATGCTAGTTGGCATGCCACATGGAAGGCTATGTGAAGACTCTTCCCTGCTCCTCCTCTTTGGCAGAGATGATAGGTCTAACTAGACAGAATCTCAATAGAATCTCCTCCCTCAGTTATCTCATTGAGGCACATGAATCCAAATGAGAGTTAGGAGGTGGAAAAGTTACAAAATTTTAATTTGTTAATTTAAATTTGCTGTGCATTGCCAATCAGCTCAAAATTGAATGTGATCGAGCTGTTAGGACAAGATGCCTCCGAAAGCAGGGGATTAACATCAGTGTCTTCCAAGATATTTTCCAGCCCTGGTAGTCCTGAAAACTAGAGAGAGAACAATTTAAATCTGGAGATTTAAATCCAGCTTGTGCTGGAAAGTCCTCTAAAACATGTGAAGAAAATTCAGAATAAGCATGCTAAAGTGGAAAGAGCAAATTACTCCAGCACCGGTGAGATACAGGTGATGGAGAACATATTACACAACTCGCTTTTTTCTTTCTACTGTTGAAAAGCCCAATGGAGGGAACGGGAGTGAAGAGGGACAGGGATCCAGTGTAACACCGTCAGCTGAGAAGGGAGACAATTAATCTTGCATTTAAATGCTCTCTTGCTCAGATTTTATCATGAGGTTGTTCTTCTTATTGGCTCATTATCAAACAGGATTTCTTTCCCTGATCTTAGTGAAAAACGCTCTCAAGATAGGTGTCCTCTTCCTTTCCAGAGTAAAGAAAATGATGCCTGGTTTTATTGAAACCAACCCAGAGTAGTGTTTATTATTGAAAATATACAGTATTTTTGAACATCACATAAAAAGCCTAGTAGATACATCTGCTCTAGTTCAAAATGCTCAATAGATAATCTTTGTGCAGCATGTAGCACTATCCTCATAATGCAAACATCCTCTTCTCATTACGATTTTTACAGCGCTTCCCTTTTTTATTTTTTAAACCCAGAAAACATGTTTTGTTGTCCTTCCCCACCCCAATCCTCTTAGCTGAAAAAAACCAAAGATTTTCCAAAGGCTACTTACATTGTGTTGAAAGCGTGGGGCTAAGAGGAGTAAGGATACTTTATAGAGCTATCTAGAGATATTGCCGTCCTTTTCAAAATCTTGTGTACGAACAGGGCATGGTTCTTGCAAGGCAAAGTGCCCTGTGTTAAACAGTCCAGCGATGCCCTGGCTAAATCCCAGTCTATCAAAGGGACAAATGGGGAAGGTAGATAAATTCGGATTTTTCACACCACCTTTCAGATGCTCTTTTTCTTGCTGCCACATGTTCTCAAATGACAGTTCTGCAGAGAAGAAATTTTTACAAAGAAACAAGAAAGAGATGGGCTATCTATACACCAAACTGTTGAAATCATTGGGAATCAATGTACAGGGTGAGATGGGCAGTATGGTAAAAATAGTCTTTGTTCACCACAATACGGAGGGGAAAACAAAAAAACAAAAGGAGAAAAAAATTGTTCCTGCCAGTGTGCTGTTTTAGACTTTGTATTGTGAACTTCCACAAGGTGCAGTCAGTGTTGAATCTCTTTATTCTTTGAATCTGTTTCGCCACCACCTACCCCAAGAGGCTTTTGCCTGGTTGCCTTAAAGCAGCATCACGAATATGGGAGATGAGAGTCCATGAAAATATGATGGGCACCTCATTGCGAAAGAGAGCAGTGCAGAATAAAGGAAGAAAGTTTGAAGAAAGGGGCTTGGGTAGAGTGAAGAAAGAAGAACCTTGAAGGCCACCAGGTGCTGTGTGTATGTGCGGGGCATATCACACGGCTGCGGTCTGTTTGATGCTATGGAAGCTGATTCGTGTCGGAGAGGTGGGGATAGACATGGCACGTGCCACACGCACTCGGAGGGAGTGATGATCTTGCCAGCGGTGCCATCTTTTCCTGGCAGCAGAACGGACCTGGTGAAAAAAAAAAAAGGAAAGAACATGAACACCTGGAATACTCAGGTGTCCTCTGTAAAGGGACACTAGACAGCTCTGAGACAAATGATGATATGTGTCAAGCCAGTGAAACATGCAGGGCTTGATTCAGCTGCCTAAACACGGGCATCTAATTCACTTGATATTCTCCTGGGTACTTCACTCTGGGAAAAGCATGGGTTTCACATACCTCATGTCTCATATCTGATGTCTTAAATACCCCAGAGCATTTCAAATGGCAATAAATGCCTAAGCTTACTCAATTGAATCAAGCTCTCAGGATGGATGCCCCTGATGGAGGTCTCAGAGAGACCTATAACAGGGCCTGTAGTTGCCCCTGCTTCCCTTGTATATGAAGGGGAATCGCAGATCATCTAACTAAACATTGGTGTCTACAACACAGGCACATCTGGCCTAATCCCTGTGAGCATCTTGTATAGGCAGTGGAGAGCTACTCTACAGTCAACAGAAGGTCATCCTCAAGAAGATGCTTACAAATCTTGAACTTTAAATGCATATTTTGTTGCATGAACCAAAGAGAGAGCCCAGGAGCTCTAGCTCAAATACAATGTATATAATTAAGAGAAAGACAGGTGATAGGAACCCTAGCCTCAAACACAATGGGAGGGAAAGCTTGAGATACTCCTAACATAGACTGTAATCAATTCCTGCCAAATCATTGGCATAGAAGACTCAGTCAGAAGCTGAAATGAAACATTTAGAGGAATTTCTGGATATTTTTGTTGATCTATGCTTACTGTAGAGACAAGAGCAATTCAGACCCCTAACCTAGGTAGCTAGGTAAGCCTACAAAATCAGGTGAGATGAATCTGGTCCCGGCTTCTTGGACAGTCAATGGGTAATTGTACTCATGACACTTGGAAAAGAAGTTGACATTCTGCTGCCAACCTGAAATCCAGTCAACTCTGAGAAAAGAGCATTTTTACATACAACCTCTATATCAAGCCAGGGCCTCCTTTGCCAAAAGCACATTTGTTTAGAAGGTGGGGTTATAAATAACATAATGTAGATATTACACCTCAGCTACTGACCCATAGTTCTCTTCCTGACCAAGAGAGAACCAGTCAGTATGGTCAAAGGGTATGATTCATCTCCTCCTAAAGCAGATGTCCAAAGTAGGCCAGATACTGTGGTCAGATGAAAAACACCTATTTACTTTCATTAGTTATAAAGTGAGTCTAGACAATTAGCTCTGCTTTAGATGTTTGGATTATAAATTTAGCTAAATTTAGACAATATTGATATCTTACCCTGAATGTTTTTCAATCTTTAATGTACTTATCTTCACTGCATCCCTCAAAAGTAAAGGAGTGCTCTTATCCCTATTTTACCACCAGCAGGCTAAAGCTTGGGTATTAATAGCAGTGATGTTGTTGTAGAGTAGACCTCAACATGGATCAGCTACCATGGCAACTGTACAAGGCCTGGGATGAGCTTGCACAGCCTGTGTGAAACCCATGCTGACACAGCTCCTTAGCTATCAGCACCTGAGGTAGATCAAAGCCATCCTGGGTGTATCTATAATCACCACTGGGATTGCAGGGAAGATGGTGTTGAAACAAATTGTCCAAAGGTGCACAGCTACTGCTTTTCTCCATTTCTTTTAAAATTTGGGGCCTGTCTTCAGGTGCAGTGTGAAGTCTACTCAAAACATGAGGAACACACACTCCTCAACCCCACTTCAGACCAGCTCCAACATGCTGTCTAACAGGTGCTCAAATGAGCTGATGAGCTGTAGTAGCAGAGCTATTTCCCACCCTAACCACACACTGGCAGTATTAGGTGTCCTAGATGAACAGGAATGATGGCCTGATAGTTAAAACATAAAACAGTTCATAAGGAGGACATGGGAAGGGGGGATCTGCACTTCTTCTCTCAGATGGTTTCAATCCTCCCATTTCTTGGTGGGCCTTCAGGGACTTAGACAGACCCATAGTCTGTAGCACTACTACTTAGAAACTCTGCACTGTTGTGGCCTGGCACCTAACAATCCCTTCTCATCACCAGCTTTGTCCATGAAATACACCCCATTTCAGGTCTGTGAGTATCAACTTGGAAAACAGTTTTGTAGTTGCCCTCTTTGGTGTTTTGTCAGGGGAATCCTGAAGCTGGAAATCTGGCTTTTGTATCAGAGCCCTTTCAGAAGGCGCAGATTGGGGAAAATGGACCTGAGGATCTCTTTCTTTGGTTGTTTTCTCAACTGTGTGTGATCTGTGCTGCTTGATCTGACACTTAAGACAAGTAGATGCAGATGTTTATAGTAAGGTGAGAAGAGTGCCACACTGTGTTTCTTTCTCTGATTTTGAATCAATGATTTGTTCCAATATAAAATAATGGGTTTTACACTTAATAGGTGGGACAGACCCTAGAAAAATAAAGGCTATGAGGGGATAGGACTGCTTGCGTGGAAAAGGGGAAGAGTCAACATCCAATGAAAGAAGAATTAAAGTTAGTAGACAGCACTGCCAGGAGGAGCATGATCATCACAAATGAATTTGCGATGAGACTGAGAATAATGTGGTTAAACAACAGTGCAGGGGATTTCTGGAAGAGCCTCTCATTATGAATTTGTAGGTACAAAACACCTCCCCTAATTTCAAGATGGGGTTTGGTCAGTTTACATAATGAGTTGAATGAAATAGTTATATGAGATAGCCAGAGTCAGGATGGGCTGACTCAGCTGTATGCTACTACAGTAGAAGCCAGCATGGACTGCTGACTTTCACCGTCTCATCAAACTGACCTCATTGGTTCGCTGAACCCTTCTGTTAAAACATGAGAAGCGGTGGAAAGAAGATGTGTCATGGTGTTGCACTTTCCTGGATGCCCACTGTTTGCAAATCTATCATGGTTCTACCTGGAGTGGCCAAGGGATACTTATTTCTGATTCTGGATTTAAGGGTGCATATAATATACACCCAAAGGCCAATACATGTGCCAAAGTACATACAAGGGAGGATGCATCTCATCTGAAAGCTTGATACCTAGTCTTGGCCAATTATTTATGCTTTCAATATAGACGATGGAGAAAGTGAGACGATCCCCCTAAGGAGGTGACTTAGATATGTGGAATGAATAAGTCCTTGCTCCATCTTGCTCCTCTGAGTACAAAACCAGCTTAGCTAAATGTTGGGCACCTAAGGCAAATGGTATTAAGTAACATGTAAAGTGTCAGAGGGGTAACCATCGTCATGGGACATTGTCCCATGAAGAACATGGGACTTGATCTGCAGAGGGATGTTGCCTCTCGAATGCTCATTTCTCCGCAGATGTCACCAAATGCTGAGATATTGTTAGAAAAAGTTTTTTCCCCTTTCTGCTAGAGTGAAATTCACCTTTGTACGGGGAGCCTGCGATCCACTTCAGTCCTTCAGAGAGGTGAATTTCTTCATCTCTGGTGCAAAAGCGGAGAATAAATCTCTGTGTACAGCACAGCCTTGCTAAAGACCTTAATAGCAGACTGGCAGTCCTGTGAATTCAAGTATCCCAGGTACTCCTACAGCAGCATTTCATTGGGTCATGAAAAGGGGGAGTCACTGGTGGGCTTTTTGTGTTTCTGAGTAACTTGTGCGAACAGATACTTACTCAGCCAGTGAAGCCAGATTAGATTTATCATTTGTGCTTCAAACCAATCAAGTCAAAAAGAGTGACCTGGAGATAAAGACGTGAGTCTAAACAAGCAGTTGTCCGAATGGCGTTTATGATATGGTTTGCTTACAAGCTTTGAGAAAGGATAAAGAGTAGTAACAAAAATGCTGTCTTCTTGTACAGCTGGAGCCATTCCTAATGGACTGGGCACATGGAAATAGATTCTGCACTTACAGGGGTGAGTGCAAAGCATTTCTTAATGACAGAATAGTTCACTGCAATTAGGATGTGACCAGAGCGCAAGCAGAAAAGGTTAAGCTCAAATTTATCTCTTACAATTGAACTCAGAAGCAAAATGCTAGCTTAACTTTATGTCAGAAAAGAAAAGAGAAAACCGGCTGTGACTGCTATAATAACATATTAAAAAAGACACCAAAAAAGCTATTACACAGCAGAAGAGTAATAGAAAAAGATAAAGCAAAATAGCAACCTCAAACCTGGTTGTTAATCTCCATGAGAGCAACTACCTCTATCCATTAAGCATTTGTAGAGTCAGTACCGTGTCCTAGAGTCAGCATTAGCACATCTATGACCTGAAATTAACAGCACTTGCCTGTAATAGCCCAAAGATTCGTACAGGCTATCATCAGTGGTTAAAGCTTAACAAAGAGCCTGGGGAATACAAATTACCAGCTTCACCTCTATGTAACTTTAGTTGCTTGAGATGACAAGGTTTATCCGTGCTGCTGAGCAGGGAGCTCAGTTCTCTGCGTTGACCCTTGCTCTGTCTTTTTCTTGCAAACAGTTGCTCTTTCAGAATTACCCTTTTCAGCTCTTTGCACTTTGTGTACTGTGAATAATCACGGTTTCTGAACATGTGGCCAAATCAGATTTACCTACATATTTGTGCCTACAGAGTGTGGGCACTGCTTTCAGCAGGATTGCTTTAGAACAGTCAAGATAAAGAATTCAGGTGATGGGATGGAGAGAAGTCAGTGGGTGATCGTTTTTCTTTCCTGATTGGATCACCTACCAAGGAGTTCTCAGACTTTCAAATCACATCTGAAAATCACTAAAACCCACATCTGTTCATAAAAATTGTTAAAAACCTCTCCTCCTCCTCCTCAGAAGAACAACAAAAAGAATGAAAGAGATAGAGAGAAGGATGAAAACATGCAGAGAAGGTTTGCTTTTGATAAAATAGACATCAACTTTGTATTGCTATTACTTATGCTGGACAGTGGCTGCTGGCTAACTTCTTGCAGCCATCGATTAGAAATGAGTTGAAGAGCGAGCCTTTAGTGGCATTAAAAATCAGTTTTTGGAAGAAATGTCATGTCTCATTAGCAGAGAGGAAGAAAGCTTGATCC